ATAATAACAATAACAATAATAATAATAATAATAATAATAATAATAATAATAATAATAATAATAGAATAATCAAATAATCAAATATTTTTAGACATTTTCAAATTACAAGATAACTGTTTTTATAAAACTTGGGGTCTGAATAATCCTAAAAATATGTCTATAGCGAATAGACTAGGCCTAGCGTAGGTCTACTTTCACGTGAGAGCATACCGCGTATACTTAAAATTTTAAATACCCTCCGGGCCAAACATTGTTTACTTTCACCTAAGCCCAGGCGGCAGCTTACCCTCCCGTAGCGTAGGCTATTTTTGGGAAGACTGCTAGAAACATTTGAATTATATTTTAAAAACATATATAGTTATCTTTTCCGTGTTATTTATTACGCCAAACGTCTAAAGGGTAGACATGCTAGGCCTGCCTAGGGTAAACACGTGTATTTTAAAGGCCAGACACGGTCATTTTTAAACTTAAATAAAATTTTTACCGGAACAGTTGTCAGAGAGATTTTTTAGAGGATAATGCAGAATTATATATATTATATTATAGTAATAACATGGTAATGGTAATGGTAATGGTGGGATATTTGTAGTGCGCCTTCCACAATAAAATCGTCTCAAGGCGCCGAAAAAAGGTAGGACCAAGAATTTAAAAAAAATTAAACATGGAGCAAGTGGCAATGTTTCAAAAAATTATTTATAGCCATGTAAACTTTACATGCCAGATTTTCTTAAGTTTTGGGTGAAAAACATGAAATAAATTCAAATACTCACACGTAAAATCAGGAGCCATGACATCGTACCTATATTATACTACGGAACTGTTTAGCATGTCTTCTTCGATAATATCATGAATATTCATTATGTTTTTTAATTTTAAACCTGTTGGTTGGTCATTTAAAAACCCATATATGGAGAATAATGAAATTATCGCTTCCGCGTTAGCGCCCCCAACTACGAGAATATCTAAAATGTATAATAGTGACCAACAGAGGGCTCACTATTTATTGTCTATATTGAAACCGCCGTGAGAACCTAGTAATATTGCCGCAGTATTGCAGTAATGGTTAATGGCTTGCTCTGTCTGAAAGTGTCAACTAGATATTGCGGCAATCAAGCCAGTGTGTGCATTTATGCATAAAGAAACAAGGTTAAAGTTCAAACAGTTGAGCACAGTGGTATTTAATTTTTTCACTTTCTTTTGCAGCTGCTCAAAATTCCAATCTCCTTCGCCTTAAATGGTTCCGAAATGACCTTAGAAATCCCCTTGCCAAAATAATAATATTCTGCTTGTGTAATGCACGTACAGCGCTTACATAAGCAGAACCAAGATCAGGGGCCATATTGACAAAAAATGTGGACCATAAATTTTGCCGTCTTTTTTTTTAAAACCGCCAATATTACGCCATCCTTTAGGACCCTTTCAGACAGACTAGGGTTAGGCATTATTGCGGTAACGGGGGCGCTGTTTGAAAGGTTATAGACTGGTAATTATGCCGGCATGATCTATCTGTACATTGTGTCTACTTTGTGCAGTTAACATGTTTGTTTTATTCTTTCTATCAATCTAAAGTCAATCAATCAATGATAGGAACATGTCAAAAGATGAACGTAAAAATAATTAATTAGTTTTACCATTACAGTCGATGCCTTAAGGCTGTCGGAGATAAGCTGAATGACTACTGGAATGAAAAAAGAGAAAGTGGGACAGTTGCTGGTTCTTCAAATCAGTTTCTGGGGAATAAGAAAGCAGAGTGAGTTTTTATTTTTTATTTATTTAAAAAAAACACAAACTAAATACTGTATACTGTATTTGAAATTTATTACCTAGTTGTGCTGCATTATGCACAGACAATGCATTAAATAAACCAGTTTGTAGTTGGAACTGCGCATGCCCATATCAAGGTCAGTCGATTGACCTTAGATACAGGCATGTGCAGTTCAGAGTACAAAATGACTTTTGCTACTTCCCTAATTCTATTGTTTTCTTTATATTTTGCTTTGTTCTTATATATCAGACCTTTTAAGTTTCGAAAAACCCTCTTTAAAGTTTTATAAGTCCTATTTCTACTGACGTGAAAGTAAAGTTCTTAAGAAAGTTCTTTGTGGCAGTAGAAACGGGCCCTTCCTCAGATGTTTCTATCATTTGGAGAGGTCGCAGTCATTTAACAGCTAGATTATTTCCAGTTTTTGATGGAGGGGGTAAAAAAAGTTCTTGTGTATTGCTTTAATATTTATCCAAAAATGTTTTCAAGCAGTAAGGCACAATTGAATGACCAATACTATATATATGTAACCAATGGAAGTACAAGTTTGCTTGTTTACAAACTTCCTATGAATTTGATATCAGCATCACATATGCATGCCTGGACGGTAATAAATACTGTATTGACATTAATAAATAAATACTGTATTTTTTATGTTGATTTCAATTAATCAATGTTCCTTTGTTTTTATAGCGTTCCCGATTACACCTGGGTTCAGTGTGATAAATGTTCTAAATGGCGCAAGTTACCGGACTCGGTTGATCCCGACCAACTGCCTGAACGTTGGTTTTGCTCAATGAACAAAGATACTAGTCAGAAGTCAGTACATTCTTTTCAATTTGAAATGCAATTTAATTTTGAAACCTTACAAATACAGTTACTTCATCAATTTTAAAATTGTTTAGTTGATCCCTTTCATTACCATCAATATGTCAGTCATTCATTTATTAACAAGAGGAACAATAAAACATCTAATCAGAGTTAATAAAATGAAGAAATTACAATGTATTTTACAGTATCTTAGGTCATATTTGTCTAAAATTTTATCTTTAACTTTTTAACAATTTTAATGTTTTGTCTCATGTCATTTTCTAGAGAAGATAGTCTGCAATATACAAAACAGAATTATTTGTAGGCATGAATAACAGTCTTATTTATCATCATCATTTATCAAATGGTTAATGTTAAAAACCTTTTATTTATTTTTCATGGAAGAATCTATACCATACATAATTCCACTATACAGTTATTTTTAAGCTTTGTGTACAATTGACATAAAACTGTTGTATTCCTATCAGGGTTGTAGCTGTAGAAAACTACAGGTGTGTGATAGACATTTTAAGGGTGGGTGGGTGTTAACATTTGTAAACTCTAAGAGTGAATTTAAGGATGGAAAAGTTGGTTAAAAAGGTGGGCGATGAAATTATCTTTAGACTAGGTGGAAAACAAGAATGAGTGGCCCCTGTCCCATATATAGTCATGATCTACCTATATATGGTCATGATATAATGTTGTCATGACCATATTTTATGATTGTCATATGTTTTTGTCAAATAACTTTTGATATTTTTTTTTGTGTAAACTACGTAAGCCTTTGGTAATGTAAATTAAATGTGTTAGCAATGATTTAACACTGAGTGTTGCTGAGGGGGCTAGGGACGACTACACTTGTCAAAATCGGGGTTTAAAACATTCTAGCTTTTATTACTCCTTTGTTATACATTGTAGAACCACAGACATAACGGCCGGTAGTTTGGGGCAGATACACCTAGACGATAACGTACAAATAACGGATGTATGTTTGTTGTGTTATCGTGCTGGCAGTACACTCAATTGCACAAGTGGGGTCCCTCTGAACATATACCGGCAAATGGAAGAAAGGGACAAGAAAACTCAAACTTGGTAGAGAAAATAGAAAATGCTGTCCGAGTGCCGGCGACAAGTTTACTTGTCCTCTAATAGTTTCCCGCCAATTTGTTAGACGCACCATTTTGGTGATATATATGACGAGGTAGAATTTTTAAAAAGTATGTTTGTACATGTATGCTTGTTCTGGAACGTGGAAAGAAATCTCAAAGAAGGTCTGGCAGTCAACGTGTTAATGGTGTGTTGACTATTTTTTCAGTAATTGTAATGTTCCACAAGAAGCGGAAGACTCTGATGATGAACTTACAAGACCAACGTACGATAAAAAATACAAGAAAAAAGAAGCGTAAGTAGATTTGGTAATGTTTCATTTACTTTTATTTTTCTCATTTCCTTTTTTTAGTCACTAACTATTTCTTGTATTATTTGGTGTCTATTTTCAATAACCATGTTCAGACAGCATTCAGTTTTAAGTAAATTTTTTCAACAGATGTACAAGTATATGCATGCGTTACTTGAGGCTGCATGTGGTGTTTTTACTTCAAAGATAGTTCAAAGGTTAAGCTGGGCTCTCACTGTGTCGTTCAACGAAACCAACTCTGCTCTCTGTGAGTGCTAAACACTGTCTGCTGATTGTCGGCAGTCATTGAATGGATCATCATTAAAAGCGATCCATTGCATGCATGTTTTCGCGTTGCGCTCTTTATAGAATCGCATCACCGACAACTCTTTGGCGCAACGAGTGAAGTGAATAAGTATATGCGCCAATTTTCCACCCATGATAATCACACTGTTGTTGACTCTCAGGAGTTATTTTGCACCAATTCTTGAAATTGTACAAATTATGAAATCATACCAATTGTGTGTGAAAACATCATCTACAAAGATTTACACATTTAAGTACGTTTAAGCTGTTTTATTGTGTGAACTTTGCAACAATATCCAAGGTGCGCGATTTACAGGAAAGATTCATTGTTTTATTTGTGGGTTGAGTTTTGAATGGCAATGTGATATCTGATGAAACTGATAATCTTTTACTTTTTAGTGACAAAAAACTAAAGAAAAAACTTACTGAATCCTTAAGGATGCTAGAAGAAAAGGTGAGCATTAGATTTTTAAAAAATACATCCAAGATTTTTGATATAAAATATACTAATAATCAAAAAACTAATAAAAACACTCAGAAAACAAAAACTCGCAATTGTAAAAGCTGGTCACTCACTACTCAAAAAACAAGTACGTCCATCGCACAACAAATCCAACTCCACTTAACACTCTGACCGCCAGGTGTTTAAAAAAATAGTATCAGCCACCGCCAGACTTTAGCGAATTTTAACACTTTTCCGAAGCTCATTGAGAGTGCGTATGTGATCAGATTGACATGTAATTAATACTACAAGAACCACAAACATCTTAGCTTTACAATGGTACCAAACACTTTATTCTAATCACAATCTATAACCCGTAACAATAAAATGAAAATGACTCACTTTCAGAGATTTACGCAATTTTGCCCAATAAAGCTGAGATAATCACGATTTTGCTACGCTCGATGTAAACAAACACTGACGCCCGAAAGAGACTTCAACCAAAGCTACATTACATGGTATCGCTAGGCTAGTCTAGGCCTAGCTAAAACAAAACATCACTATTTAAAGATTTATGACATTTTAAAAATCATATATTATACATCTAATACTTTCGCCAAAATCCGCATGGTTAGATTCCTGTCCTAGTCACGGGTTTACGCTAACCGCGCCAGCTGTCTTACTACTTACGGTCCAGACCGAACATAATGTTCAAATTGTTAGTACATGTCGATAACTACCCTATCTATCAAATTCTGTAAAAAAAACCTGAAACACTGAGATCTCCGTGTTTGGCGGTTAAGCATCGCGTTACCAAACACGGAGATCTCCGTGTTTGGCGGGCAGAGTGTTAATAGAATGTTTTTTTGCTTGTATGCTATCTGGCATGTGTTTTCCCATTGAACTACATTTGTTTTTAAAATATGAATTATATACAAACCATATTATGAGAATCAACTATAATATTTTAGGCTATGTTTAATATGAAGCTCTCTCCACACTATCAAATTTATGCTCACGCTAGGGTCAAATTTTCTTTCGCCAAAATCGTGAATGGTCTTTAATTTTTTTCGCCAAATTGAAAATGCTTTAGCCAAGTTTAAAAACCAATAAAATTTCACAAAAACGGTTCCGTAAATGAATTTCTTGCTTATTTATATCTCATTCATTTGTAACCAGTCGTAAAGGCGGTAATAATAACAATATTAATGATTGAACAAATGAAACAAAAATGATCGTTCACGATATGTGGGACCGACGGCTACCGGACCTGTTCTAGGCCTAGTGCTACGAAGATTAAATTTGTTTACAGTATATAAAAATTTGCATTCGCCATTCTGGCGAACGATGCAAATTTTTTCTTTGCCAAACAATATCTCAGTTCGCCGTTGGCGAATGGCTAGTGAGAGCGTAGCTACATATGTGGCAGAAATAAACCAAACTAGTCGCTCGTCGCAAATCATGAAGATTTCAGCTAATGCTGCCCTCTGTCTATATTTGTTGAATAAATAAACCTTGAACAAACCCTGGTTCAAAGAATGTTAACATTTTTGAAAGCTGTTTTATTGCACAACCTTTATATGATCATGATATGTTGAAATCTATTTTATTGCATTAACTAACATTTATATATCTATATAATAATGCTATATTTTCCACATTTTCTATGTTACAACAACAATTTTTAATGATTTGGTGATGGTTTCTGTCTGAGAAATGCCAAAAATCACAAACTTTGAAGGCTGATTTCTCAAATATTGTTCTTTAAACAGCTGAATGTTTAAACTCCTATAACTTTTTAACAAAATTTCAGATTTAATTGATTCTTTCACCATTATATATCTCTCAGTCTAATGTTTAACCCTGTATTAATACGAGTGACTTGCTTGGCTTGTCTTTTGCCACATGTATGTTCATGATTTCATGTCATCATAACCATAATCAAGCATGTCACAAGTTTTTGTCAAATAAAATTTAATAGTTTGGATAGGGCTTAAGTAAGTACTTCACACCGATCCAATTCAGTCTGTTGCGGAAGAACTACTTTGTCTTGAAACACTTGAAAAATTACATTTTTACAGGCACTACGGTGGCACCTATTCCAAAACTCCTTTTTTTATATACAGTTGGGCTGAAGTAAGTTTGATCCTATGTCAGGGAACTCGTTGTGGAAGTTGGACCCCTGTCGGGGGACTTCGGTTTCCCCTGTTGAAGAATTTTTGGCGCTGCCACTAACCCACTTTTATCCTTGGCCGTTATAATCTGCTTTGAACCTTCAGTATCTTGAATTTAAGGTTTTCCACGGGTACAGTTTGGAAGGGGCCAACAATACTATTAATTTTATCTAAGAACTGGTAAATATAATGTTATCCCCGATGAAGATTTCTTGTTTCCATAAAATACCATAAAATGAGATATATAAATAAATAACACTTGTCTATAGGAAGATTCCACTTTTTAATATAAACAATTCTGTGAAAAGACAAATCTTATAAACGGGAAACAAACAATGCTATTAACGTTTCTTATGCACTTGTAGCATTATAATATTTAATAAACCATATTAACTTTATGTGAAATGAAAAAAAAGTTAAATTTTACCATTAATTCTTGAAAGTACAGTAATACAAAAATTTTGTGGTTACAGAAAAGAGAAGCAGCACAAAAAAATGAGATGCAGAAGCAGAAGGAGAAGATAAAGAATCTTGAAGCGCAGTTGGTATGTAGACTAGTTGATTGATTGATTGATTGATTGATTGATTGATTGATTGATAGATAGGTTGGCTGTTCTCTGGCAAAACAACGTAACTTTTTCATTTTTGGGAAAATAGAATTAAAGTTTGCATGTTTGCAACTTGGTAATTAATTGGATTGTATATCTGTAGACGTGATTATATTAAAATTTAAATTACAACCGTTTGTTAATTGCAAAGTTATTAGTGATATTCACAGATGCGTTGTTTTGCCTTGGAAACATGTCAAGATCGGTATTGTTGCAAACTTGTGTGACATATTTTTGGAATTTATCATGTTAGGGGCAATCATTAATTATCTAGCTTAATACAACGCTATTAAGATTATTATTATGAAAACACCAATAACCAGTTTATTTCGCCTTGCCAAACTCCATCAGCTCGAAAAAAAATTTGAATACCATTCCGAGACAAAATATAACATATCTTCATCGTAGATACGTTGTTTTGCCCCGTAATCTTGTAGTACATTGTTTTACCTCAGTAAATCACTAGATTTTAAGTTTTATGCTTAAAGATAGGTGGTGCTATCTTCAAAACAACTCATTGTTGAGACCTGACATTTTCACAGGTAATTCAGATGTGTTTAATATACTCCCAAATGATATTATCTCAAAATCGACAAAAATGTCAGTTGGTGGATTGATTGATTGATCGATTTATTTATTAATCGATAGCCTATTATGTAATCTTTGTCCAAGAAGACTTTCCCCATGGTAAAGGTAATGGTTGGAGAATAAGCCATAACTCATAGCGTCATTGTGCTGAATTGCGTATGGGCGTGGTTAGTGACTACTTTGCTGTCGTAGAGAGTAACTTCACGTTCACATCATTCCACAACATCGCCTGAAAAAAACCATTACATGACTCCCTACTCTTGTATATAGTGCACACAAGCCAGATGTGTACACTAAACCTTCTTATCTGAGAAGACGTGTTTCTATCAAACGCACCCTGGGCGAGGAGTACCTCAAACCATATCTACCTTATCATGCTTGCATGTTTGTGGCTACCAGTTTAAACGGATCGCCATTAAAAACGATCTGTTGCACGCGCGTTGTCGCGTTGCGTTCTCCATAGAATCGCATCGGTTGACAACTTTCAGACGCAGCAAGTGCCCTGCTTTAGGGGGTTCCCCTGAATAAGGATGTCCCATTGGAGGGTTTTCTACAATAATATTAATTATTTGTTGGAGTTCTTTATGTTATATCATTTTTCTGATTTTTATTTTTATTAATTTTATATATATATATATATATATATATATATACTCTCTCTTATACACATCTAGATGTGTATAAGAGACAGGTACAGATCTGATTTTCTCTACTGTTCCGTTTAAAT